TTGTCATTCAGAAATATAACCGCCCCAATCTGAACCACTCACATTGAAAAATCCAGCTAACTACCTCCGGGCTTGCGAACCGACCACGATATTAGGGCTCCTTGTAGCAGCTGGTACCTAGGAGGTGCAAAGTGCCTCTAGGAGTGCAGGAAAAACCAAGGCATGCAGATTTGAGGAAGCTCAGAGAGGCACGTGGGCAAACTCTACGGGTGAACTGGGAACACTCAAAACACAGACCCTTTGAAGTGAGGCCCAGGATCCAGTGGAGAGAGAGATGCGGCGGGGCGAGTTGCACGTGCAACAGAGGAAGAGGAAGAAGCTACGGGGAGGCTCTCTGCCTGCAAGTCCACATCTCTTGGTTCTGAGTCCATATGAGAGAATCTCCGAATCGCTCACTCATCAAGCTCTAGCACAAAAGGAATCCAAAAATAGACACTTTCCAAAGAGTTACAAAACGGTCTGTGTTTGCGAGGCTCACAGCCGCACTGAAGTCAGAGGTTGAGAACAGGCACATCAAAGAGGTCACAGACGCCTTCGCTCTCGTCCAGGTTATAGATGTAGTCGTGATCTCCAGGCGGAGGGGAGAGGCGGAGCAAGGGAGCAAACACTGGGGAAAGAGAAGCCCACGGTGGGTTACGAAGCTCAGCACTCCCACGCCTAGCCGAGAGCTGCCAATGGGCGCTGAGCTGCGGAGCCACGAGGAGGCCACCTCACAGTAACAGTCTTTCAGCTCGCTTCAAATCAGCCTCGCGATATGGAAGAGAGAGGCTCTCCTGGTCCTCACACCTCTCTCAGGGACTGGCAGGACAGCGAGAACAGAGTCTGTGTCCAGACCCCAGAAAAGATGAGGGCGAGTCTGCAGTCGCGAGACTGTCAGCTGGGTAAAGTCACACAAGACCGTCTTCCTCCCCCAGAAAGGCCACACCGCCAGGGTGAGACTCAAAGACTCACCTTCAGATGACATCAGCTCTTCCAGCAGCTCAGAGTTCATACATTCTGGGGAAGAGACAAGCACGGTTAAGCAACACACTCTGCTTTCCCGGTCTGCTCCCGTGCAGCTTCCCACCCTTCCCAGGGTGCTCCTCACCCTTGTTATCCCTTCTCCAGCTAAGGCACAGCGTGGGCAGCGGGCATTGGCGAAAGGAGGCTTGGGCCTCCTGCCGTGGGCAAAGGGAAATCGGTGTCAGACAAATCAAGGTATGTCAAAAAAATTCTGCAGGAGGTTTCTGCCTGCTTTAGCTCAACCATACGCCAGTCTCCTTCATACGACAGGCTGTGCCTTACCCCTGCACTGGCATCTAGCTGGTGCCCCAGACTCCTCCAAAGGAAACTCTTCAACACGCACCAGAAATTGAGCTGGTAAAGCCTGACATATTCACAGTCCTCAATCACCCACCAACTTTGCTAAGAGTGGGGGAAAAAATTAAAAAACAAATGAGCAGTAGAACTGATGAACCCCTGGTTTCCTCCGGATTTGTGTCCTTTGTCCCCCTAACTTGCTCCCCTTGCCCCACGGCTATGCTGTGGCTAATCCAGCCACATGCCCTGGCAGATTCGCTGGCTGCCCGCTGCCAAACAGAACAAACATCTGAGCTCTGCATATCCTTCCTGAATGGGCCATTAACTCTGCTCTCCCCTCTACTGCCCACACAAAACTGTGGAAAAAAAAAAAACAAACGATGCTCTGAAATGTCGTTCCTTCCTCCAGCGTTGTTACTCTTGGCTAGCAGGTTCACGAGGCACTTGAAGGGTAGAGAGGCAAGCAGCCAAAGCACGTGCAAGTCGATCTCTTTTCTTTAAGAAGCTGAGCGGTTGAGAACATCTTTCTGAATACCTCTCACTTTACCAAGTTAAGATCTAACTCAGTCTAACTGGGTTGATGAGATACTGCCCACACGTGAAACGAGCTTTCACAAGAGAAACTCAGATCAGCCCATTTTCAAGATGCTTATCCACAGCAGGCTATTTCCTAGAGGACAGGAACCTACCTGCCTAATTCAGTGCCATGAGATGAGAGAATTTCAACACCAAGTAACTAGGCAGGAATAATACCAGCTTCAATAAATAGCAATTAAATGCAGAACCTGCATTCTTAGATTGTCTTCAGGGCCGGTAGTATCACAGGGTGTGTATATGTGTGCGTTGAAATTCAGCTTTTTTTTCAGGATACGAGTTTAAAACAAGCAGTTATTAAGCACTCATTTAAAAGAGAGAGAAAACCATGCAGAAAGCGTAATTCCAATACAAAACACTAAGGAAGAAATCCAGGCTCTTGCAGCTTAAACTGCGTAGCCTTAAAGCGGCCGCCGGTGCCAGGGCAACATTACTGGGATCACACAGGGATCACACAGCCTCACAAGAGGCTGCATGGAGCACGCTGCAAGGCCCATTTCTCCAAGCTCTGTAGCGTTGCTTTTTTTCCAGTCCAGAGCTTTGCCTCTGTAGCTGTCGACTGTTTTGTCCTTCACTCCTGGATCTCTACCTTCCCCCTCCAAATTGGGAAGAATACTCCGTGAAACAACATACGTTACCGCAGACAGCAAACATCTCCCTTTTAATAGTGTCCACATAGTCCCAGAGTATAGTTAGTTTGGGTTAAGCTAGATCTTCTACACGGGCTGGGGCCTTGCAGCAGTTTATGTTTCACATTCCGAAGTCAAATTTACTCTTTAGATGCATTCAGGCATTACCAAGACCTCACCCACTCTCTACAGCGGCGGGTGCTGAGCAAGGAGGAAAGGTGTTCTCCAGGCGGAGCGCGGAGCCCGGGGCTCCTAGCACACAGATCAGGCGGTTGCGCATGTGCATTCGGGATTGTGGGGTTTTGTTTTTTTTTTTTTACACAAAGACAGCGCTTTCACAAAGCGCCTGCCAGAGCGCAGAACTAGGGACTGTTGTTGTACGTATCCTGTCACCACCACAAAAGTGCTTGTGTGTTCTCGGCTCTGCCTAGCTGCGGGGCTAGAAAGTATTACGCCAGCACTGAAGGGAAATAAATGTGCAGATAAAAAGTGTCTCCCAGTTTAGGCTTATGTTAGACCCAATTCCTTCACCTCTCCTGCCCTTAGCCCAGAGTCCATCCCACCATTAGGCAGCGACACCCAGACATTCCTTGGGCAGAGGCAGAACTCCTAACACAAGTAACGGCATCCCCTCCCCTACTGCTCCAAAATTACCAGCACCACCAAAACCACTGAGGGATACTTCGAAGAGAGAAGACTATCTCCCGAGATTATTTGCTTGGATTAGCCTCGGGCAGGCTGCAGCTGAAACAAGACTAACAGGGGTTTTTCTTGCGTGCAGACAAGCCGGAGAAGGAGCAACGGGAAGCCAGAGCACAGATTAGCGTTGGCATGGGGAAGGGAAAGCCCTCATCTACACACTGCAGGGCAAACTAGCAGAGGTCGCTGGCAACGTGAGGACAGAAAAATACATACAGAAACCAGTAATTTTAAGAGTGCCTAACTACAAGCAGAGAGCCAGCAGCCACCAACGACCACAAGCACCTTACAAAACCACATCCCCAAAATAATCCAAAAGGGAATGAATAAAACAAACTGTCCCACTTCTGGGGGTAGACGGGCACAGAACAAAGCCGTGGTCAGGGAGTGAACATACCTCTCGTTGGATCAAACATCTCTGACAGCTCTTTGGGAAGTTCCAGTACTGCAAATACAACAAACCAAATGGTTTGCATCGTTACATGAAGAGTCTGAAATGCTTTACAGCATAATCACCTACTGTCCTACTGTACTCCTTACGCACCCAAATCATCCTATGCCATCCAGAAATTCTGCTCCCACACCCCACGTCACATAGTTCTGCTGAAATGATAAGCAATAAAACACTTAAGCTCGACTGCTTTAAAATAGATCTGTAGGAGCCCTGGGACACGAACACGTTATCACAGCCAGCAGCTCTAGAGTAACTGCCTGTATGTAAGCCTCACACGGCGTCAGCTTCCGTACGCCACCTCCATTTATCTTGTGTAGGATGAGGGCGTGCCTTTAGAGAGTCAGCACAGGCCCAGTGGGATATGGTAAGCTATACGCACACCGAAGGCCTAATTCCACAATCAAGACTACTCCAAGATGAAGACAGACAGTTCACGCTTCTCTCAGACGTGCTAGCAGCAGAAGCGTGAAAAAAGCACTGTGTGGGCTACATTTGAGCAAGATTTCCTCTTCTAACCATAACTCTCTAACCTGGAGCGTTTCTGCAGTGAAGGTAGGCTTCAAAACATTGAAGCAGTGTGTCTTACCCAGAGGATGCTTTTCTCTCCTTGGGCCAGCCTGCCGTTTCCTGGCATAAAGCTCAAATGTTCCTTTTTTAAAGCCCATTTCACCTCACCAAGCACATCAAGGAGGTCCCCAGATATACACTGCGAGATCATTAAGACCACAAGATCACTAAAGATAGATGAAGCATTCCCGAGTAAAGGAGGAAAACAGAGACAAGAGCTCTCCTAATAAAGGAAAACTCCCCATGAGTTACAAAGGTGCTCTCAGTGACGACTGCAAATTCTATAGCTTCAGGCAGTCTCAAAAATTGGACCTAGCACTACAGAAGGGACTGCAAGGGAATAATCCTACCTATAACAGCAGAAACGTGTGTCATGCGAGCGTCCCTTGCAGATTTTCTAGTACTGGTGTCACAGAAAGCATCGGGACACTAGACATGACACAGTCACTTTCTCAACAGGTTCCCCAGCACCCTCACAGGGAAATGCCTACTCATGCCTGGCTGACAGCAAAGGCAGAATGGAGTTCAGCTCCTTCCTCCAGGGCCAGCAGCCTTTCCCTCGCTCCAAGCGGCATGCTTTTGGAGCAACACCTGAAACGAGGGTCCATACTCACTTCCTGTGGGATCTGGCTTAATCGGCTCGAAGGAGGTAGAGGGGCTGGGTAGGACGGAGCTGCTGTCCAGCGAGGCAGAGGACTGTAGCGGCTGGGTATCTAACCCGGCCGGCTGGCCGGCCGATGCGGATGCGTTGCTGAGGGGGTCAAAGTCGCTGCTGCTCTTGGACTCTGCTGCTGAGACACCAGATTCTGGAAAGAGCCACAGACACACACGGGAATGTCATCTCCCACCAGCCCCAAAGAAAGCAGCTGCAGCACAGGCTCAGCCCTCACTGGCAATGCTGGCCAAGCACAGACAGCTGCATAGGAAGAAGGCTTCTCGCTTCCACCGGGTAAAAACTCCCAGGTCCTGCTGCAGCTCTGCTGCAGAGCAGCCTTGGTGGCGCCAGGCTGCACATAAGCCAAGAACATGCTCTCACAGCAGTTATCACAAGCCAGGTAGTAAGCTACACCAGGAGAAGCGTGGCCAGCACGTTGAGGGACGTTACTATCCTCCTGCTTGGGGCTGAGGCTGCACTTGGAATACTGTGTCCAGCTTTGGCCATTCTCCAGTTCAAGAAAGACGTGGAGAAGGTCCGGCTGAGGGCTACCAAGTCGGCCAGGGGTCTAGGGCACATGGCCTACAAGGAAGGGTGGAGGGAGGCGGGCTTGTTCAGTCAGGCAAAGAGAAGTCTAAGGGCAATCTAACAGCAGCTTGCAGCTACCTGAAAGGCAGTTACAAAAATTAAGATCTTCTCAGTGGTGCCAAACGATGTAACATGCACTACAGGCACGAGATGCAGCTGAAAGGATCCAGACATCAGGAAAAAGGAATTCACCGAGAGGGTGCTGCGGCCCTGGAAGAGCTCACCAAGGAAACTGGGGATCTCCACTGCTGGAGGCTTTCAAAATTCGGCCGGACAAAGCCACAACCAACCTAATCTAGTATTTTTGACAGTCTTTTTTCAAACGGAAAGTTGAACTTGAGACTCAAAAAGACCCTTTTACAAACTTCTGCTAATCAATGTATCTATCGTAGAATCATGGAATAGTTTGGGTTGGAAGGGACCTCTGAAGCCCATCTAGTCCAGCCCCCCTGCCGTGGGCAGGGACATCTTCAACTAGATCAGGTCGCTCAGAGCCCCGTCCAACCTGACCTGGAATGTTTCCAGGGATGGGGCATCCACCACCTCTCTGGGCAACCTGGGCCAGTGCTTCACCACCCTCAGCGTAAAAAATTTCTTCCTTATATCTAGTCTGAATCTACCCCCCTTTAGTATCCGCGTGATCAGCCTCTCCCCCACCACCGCTCCTACAGGCTGGCACTACCCCCTCAAGCCAAGTGTCTTATTTCCATTAACGCAGCCAGTCCCGCTAATCAAGACAAAAGAAAGGGCTCACCGCAGCAAAGGCAGAGGTGCCCCCTTTGCCAGGAGCTGACAATGCTGCACGACCAGCAGTGCCAGCCCCAGCCAGGCCAAGGAACGTACTCCCCTTCGTCGACCACCATCCCGTTTCTGCCTCCTGTAACCTCCCTCTCACCTGTGCTTGCGGCTTTCTGCGCGGGAGGGCTATGGTCCTGAGTGCTGGTAGGTGTCGGTGTAGAGGGCTGGGTGCTGCTGGGAACGGATGCCTCCTGGAAGTGGGCGAGCGGTGGTACCTGTGGTTTCGAGGGTGCAACTGCCTGGCACTGAATGAGGTCTTCAGGGGGAGGGACAGGTAGTACGACAGGAGGAGAGCTCCAAGCGTCTTTGTTTACTAAGAGAACATCAATGGGACCACTTGTGCTCTTCAGATGGATCTGATATTTCTTCTGCCCATTTAGGCCCTGAGAAAAGTCAAAAGCAAAACACAACTGTACATTAAATGCCCTTTTCAAACAGAACAGGAATTTCCCAGAGGCAAGACATGCTGTCCAGACAAGTTCAGCACTGTTCCACACACAATTCCCCGACCCCCAGGTCCATCCTCTCCTTTGCTGCTCCTGCAATTCGTACAATCACATACTTCCAAACAACAGAGTTTCCTGGCAATTATTTAATATCTGAAGCCTTCCTTGGGTTGCTGGTTCCTCCGACTCCAGCAAACCCCTGACTGCCAACTCCCAGCCTGGTCAATCCAGCAACAACCCTCACCCTGACACACACACACACACACAGACACTCCTACTCTCTGCCCACGCATTTGTCACTCACCTCGGGAATGGGAACCTCCAAACGCGTGCCTGATGGGGCTCGAATTGCCAGGAGGGTGTCTCCTGTGAAAACAGACTGGTCAGCACTCAGTGGGCACAAGCTGTTCTGATGATAATTAAGCACTGACAAAGAGCCCCTCCTCAAAGCCCCCTGTCTCCTGCGCTCCCTTCCCTGGAGGACTGCCGTTTACACCCACCTAAGCTGCTAAGCGTATCGTACAGCTCCCAATGTGCCAACTGCCCGGGGCACAAAGAACCTGTGAAGTTTCTCCCAAAGCAACCCTAAAGTTTTTCAGCAGCATCCTTAACAGGACTAACCTTTCTTTGCCACGGAAGGGCTGGCTTAAATTCACTCTTAAGAACATCTGAATCCTAAGGGAAGGATCCTTCATCCTCTTGTCACAAGCTTTTAGATGTGAGTTATAAACAAAAGAGCGCACAACTCAAAGAGCTGCACTGCCAGCGGAGAGATGCTGTTGAACTAGGCTGAGGAGCCAGGCTGCCAAGAGCACGGCAGCCTCATGCCGGAGTACCAATACCCGAAACCAACGCTCCCCAGCCTCTACTGGCAAGAGAGCCGCCTGGCGTTAGTTGTATTGGACCCTGCACAGAGCCCAGCACACGCGGGGCTGGGAACCAGGCTGACGGCATCTTTCCTTTCCAAGTTCTGCAGCTCCTTAAGACCTGCGCCCCTAAAAACACAACAGTCACAGGCGAGCAGCTTCCATTCCGTATCCAGGTTTAGAGAAACGTGAACAGAGAAATACCAGCGCTGTGAACATTAGACGTATTCAGACCGAGCAGTTAGCAGCTTTCACTTTGAATGTTTTGGTGTGGTTAGTATTCACACTTCACCGGTATTCTGCATTAAGCTTCACTCGATAATTAACACAGAAGGTCCCCAGAGCGATGAGAGAATGGACAGCAGAAGAGCACATCCTTTAATTTCAGGCAGGGAAACAAAGGTCAGATCAGCGAAAGGTACAGGGATTAAAAATACCACAGGATTTGTCAATAAGACGGGATTCCTTTAACAAATCTGCACTTCAGAAAAATATTGTTAAAAGACATTAAAAATGCGTAATAAAGCTCAAAGACTCAAGCTCAAGCTTTAAGACCTGTTAGCTTCAACAATATGGGCACTGCGTTTCTATCTCCCTTGATAGCTACGTCCCAAATACTTCTACAAAACAGTGTACAGTGTGTTTCCACTTCCTTTTTGATTCTGCAAGTGCAAAATGCATCACAGCAACAGATGGGAAAATTATGTTTCCCAGTCACTAAAAGCCAACACATACTCACTTTTTTTTTTTTTTTTAAATTAATCCAAATAATGAGTCCGTATTTGACAAGAATCCAAGCATGGAAATCCTCAAGCCCTAACTCGCTTTGAGAAAGCAAATTCAATAGCAGTCAATCAGGAAAAAAAAAAAAACAAACAAACAAACCAGGAGCTGAAATTCAGCCTGCACCACAGTTCAAGAACACAAGAGGTCCAACAGAAGAACCTCTGCAAGGCTCAGACACTTCAGAGAGGAAAAAGAAAACTACGTAAGGCATATTCATACAGCAAAACTGGGCACACACTGAACAGACAATGGAAAAACGTGGATCAAGCCTCTGCTCTGGGAGGAATTCAGATCTGCCCTCAGTAAGATCTAATCTTCTCTGCGCATTTTGGCGAGGCCTGACTTCAGACGCAAACTGGTTTACAAAAAACAGGTGCAATAAAATGCAAAACACTCAATCAACCAAGCAACAAGCTGTCTGCTGGTCTCCAGTAAACTCTTCCAGACTGTTATGAGTTATCTGGCCCCAAGCACTGTCAAACTGAAAACACAATCCCTGCCCCCAAAACGTGCTAGCTTAAATCAGAAGAAACAGTAAAGCAAAGGGGGTGGTGGTGCATAAGTTACCAGCAGGAACGCGAGCGGTATCAAGTCTGGTGACCACGGAAAGCACACAAAGGCAAAGATGAAAAATAGAAGAGTTGATAAAGCGTAGGGTGAGAAGAGCGCTTGGAAGAGACGAGGAGAGAGTCAGACAAGGGTGAGACTACGCATGGCTGGGGGTGGTCAGGATAAGTGGCTTCGATCTCTGCTGCAAGCAAGCAGATGCAGGTTGCACGGGGTCAGGAGAGGTCAGGTGTCCACCGAAGCAGAAAGGAGCTGCGACTCCACACCGCTACAGCTGAGAAGAACAGTTTATGTACTGCAGGCTGCCGTATTGCACGCTGGCCACTGGGGATTTTTTTTTTTGGTCCTACAGCTATCATGAAAATTGGCAATAGAGAAGAAACAGACACCTGTGGGTTTTCTTCACTTTTGCCCCACAGAGACAGAACACGCGGGTTTTTTTATACAGGCACCTCACAGCTTTAGGAAGGCAGTACACAAGGGAGGGAGGTCACAGCAAGCAGCGTTTTCCCTTCTGCCCTACATTCTTGTTGGTAGAGGGCATGATGCAGCTGAGGGACCACTTTTTATACTGTTTTCCTGCTTACACCCAGGTTTCTGCCATGCAATAAAATTTGCTTCCTATTATTAGAACACTGTCCACCCAATCCCTTAAAAATCAAGGGCTTGTAACACAACACACATACACCCACACAGTGACACCCAGCAAAAAGACTTCCTTAGGAATAGCAGCTATGTTCCTTTAAACACAAGCGAAAGAAACCGCCTGCCCCCTCTGACGGTGACAGAAAAGCTGCCTCCTTTTTCCTGGAGAAAGGAGGGCAGCTGGGACAGACTGATAGGACTGCAGCGTTACATCTTTACGATGGAGCACCATTTCCTCACCTGTGAAGCACTTGCAGATGTCTTCATGTGTCACATACGCTAATGTTTCCGAGGTTAAGGAGAAAGGCTGCAGCTTCCTGCGCGGACAGAGAACTCAAAGGGCACCTGGCATTTCCTCCCTGAGCACAAGAAACGCCATTCCCAGAAGGCTCTCCATGCCACACTCTGAAGTGGTCTGCAGGCGAGGTCTGCAAGCTACAGACTCGTCAGAGCCGACATCCTAAGACAGGCAAGCCAAAAGAGCAGCTCTGCACTCGAGAAAGCGGCGCCTGTGGCTCAGAGAGAAGCAGTTTTCTCACCATGGTACACACTACAGTGTTTTTTTACTTCAAAAAGCCAGACAAGAAGCCGTGCACCGCAGAGAAAGCTGGTTCCCAGGCTGGACAGAGTTACCCTAGTTTCAAAAGCAGGCACCGCCTCTCGACCCTTTCAGTGCAGATCCTCCAGCAACAACAGGTCACCACCACCCCTCTGCCCTGAGCAGGGCAGCACCACCCCGACCCTCACGCCTCTGCTTTCCAGCCCAGCAAGCGAACACGGAGACAGAGCAATCAGTTCACACAAAGGATATCGACTGTTCTGCACGTCTTCTGTAACGTTTTTGATGCTCTGCTGAACCCACATCTTCTGCTGCTCCAGCTCCTGTTCCCGCTGCTCCAGGTCCTCTATGTCTGCCTTCAGCTCGATAAGTTTGTGAGCTATTTCACGTGTGTTGCAGCCCGGACCCACCCCTCTGCGCAAAGTAAAAAAGGAGTGACAGGCATCAGCCTCTGGAGGCACCCAGACCAGCCCCAACCTCTCAGAGAGGTGGCCACCTCCCTTGCTGCCACCCCTGTCATACGTCAAGGCCAGATCGCCCGGAAAGCCTCATCTGTACCCGCTCTAGATCCCCACCTTCCAGCACGGCAACGTTTGGTACATCTGCCTACATCCCACAGACTGGAAGGGCTCTCCCCCATCTCCAGTGCCATGACAGGCATCTTTTCTAGCCCAAGGCGCCGCAAATACTTAGTCCGTACCAAAATAACAGCTCTGCTGTAAGAGAGACACGACATACGTACTTCAGCTTTCCTCATTACTCCCATCAGCATGGCCCAGCTGGGGGGAAGTACAAGCATGCACAGACCACGGAGGAACCTTGCTCTGAGCAGGGCATTTTAACCACAGCGTCACTTAGACAACAGCCTCACAAAGCCCTGCTCGCCTGAAGAGGAAAAAGGCACCCATACGACAGGACCTGGGACTAGAAGGGACTCGTGAACAATTTAGAGCTTCTCTGTCACTCACTTCCACTGGATACTGTTCTTGGATTTCTTCTCAATCAACCCGATGCCTTCCAGGACATTCGTGATATCATAGATCCGTCGCTTCTGTCGCACAGCCAATGTATCCGCAGCCTGCAAAAAGGTTAGACACTTAACTCCAAACTCTCAGTCATGTTTCACTCCTTCCTGCCTGGCAGATTAATTCCTGGCCAAGCACTCCGCTCGCCAGGTCACACCTCTCTCGTCCCAGCGCCTCAGATTACAAAGCTGTGTTCTCAATGTCATTAGGACCGTGAGAGGAAGCCACTGCCCCTTCGTTCCTCTTCTTACCCAGCAACCTCCCCACTAAGCACAAACCAAATTCCAGCCATCTCGCTCACGGTGGGTCCAAAAAATCACCATTCCTCAGCAGCAAAGCAGTGCTAGAAGACACTAGTCTGGCAGCCTAAAAATTCAGTGCTCCTCCAGGGTAAAAGATGGGGAGAGGGACGCAGAGAGCTGTCTGTGCGACTGACAACCGTTCAGCAAAGTCGACGTTCAAAAGGTCTTTTCTAAATCTGACCTGATGCCCCTTGACAGAGAATCGACGCCTTTCCCAGAGGCAGATTCCTCTGTTTGAAAGGCACGACGCCGGGAGGAGAGTAAGCGTGGCTGTAAGGGAGGAGCTCCTGAGCAGCCCCGGGACCTCCCTGCCTTGCTCACACGACTCTCCTCCCCCTGCGTTTCGGGACGCAGGGGACTGCACCCGATACGCCTGCTTCCACTACCGCATGGCAACCTAGCACCAGCAAGAGTTTAACGGGCACGGCACCGGCACAGCCAGGACCAACAACGCCAGCGGCACCGCATACAGACCAGGTCAGGTCAGCACAGGAATGACGTTCCCTCTCACCTACCAGTAACGGACCAGGACTTGGGAGACCCTACACCACGCAACCATTCAAATCACGCTAACAAATACGAATCCACTTAATGGACGTTTTAAGCAGGAAAATATTGCCCAAATCCAAAGAGACGACAGTTTGGCAGGGGAGAGGACGGAAGCCTACAGCCAGGAGACTCCTCCAGCCCTTGCATCCCCAGGGCTTTCTGGCACTTGTCCGCTGCCTGCGAGGGGTCAGAGCGCACTCGCACCCATACCCGCGTACGAGGTCTTTGCAGAAACCGCAGCAAAGGGACGTCACCTTTAGAAAAGGCCTAGGTTTAAATACCGTACACGCCACAAAGACAGAGTTACTTCCTCTAGGTGAAGACCTTCAAAAAATGCAGAAGCGAGGCACGTTCACCGGGCGCTTCTCCACAGCCTAAAGGCATCAGGGACAACCTTCGGCAGAGGTGAATCTGACCCCACTCCCCTTCCCGCTGTACGCCGGGGGGCCAAAGCGCAGTAGGGAGGAACAGTCTCTCCGCTTCTATAGGTCTGGGGGGCTTTGTCGGGCTGGATCATTACGGTGCCGGCCGATCGAGTAGCGCCTTGCGGCGGGGGCAGGAACGCCGAAGGGGACAAGGCGGCCGGAACGCCGAGGGGGACAAGGCGGCCGAAGGGGG